TGGGAGAGTTGTCTCATAGACTAGTCAATCAACAACCTGACACAGACATACCCATTGAATCATACCTTACAGTGTATGGCACAGACACTACCATCACCATTTCTGGATATGTCCTGTTCCACAACTGGGACAGATCCATCAGAGGTGTATGGCACAGCCCAGAAGGAGTCGCCCTGGAAGTCTTCAACATTGGCTCTGGACACCATGGCACCAAGTCTCATAATGTTAGGTTAAACACTGGCAACGGAACTTCCTGCTAACTACCACGTACCATCCTCCCTCAGCTAATGAATCAGTCGTCCTCCATGCTGAAGGAGGAAGCACCGAGGGTGGCAAAGAAGCAAAATATACGCTATAAGTGGTTCAGTAGCAACACTACTGATTGAGCTAGTCAGGTCCTAAAAAACATACCTGCTAGAATGGATCTGCAAAAGATGGTGAGGGAACCAACAAGGGGAAAAGTATACTTGACCTCATCCAACTGCAGATTCATCTGCCCATGACAGTATTGGTAAGAGTGCCACTGCATAGTCCTTGTGGAGATGAAGTCCCACCTTCACAGAACCCTCCATCATATTGTGTGGCACTACCACCATGCTAAATGGACAGACTTCAAAGAGATCTAGCAAGGCTGGTGGATTTGCCATGGGAAATGCAGGATTACAGGGATAGGTTAGGGTGGTAGGCCTAGGTAGGATGCTGTTCAGTAAGCATTCAATTAGCCAAATGGCTTGCTTCCATATCTGGAGATTCTATGATATGATTCTGTGAACTCAAATATGGGCATTCATGAGGTGCTGTGGGCCATCAATAGCAGCAAAATTGTATACCAACACAATCTGCAATCTCATGGCCTGGCATATCCCCCAATCAACCATTACCATTAAGCCAGAGTATCAACCTTGCTTCAATGGACAGTGCAGTAGGGTATGCCAGCAGCAGCACCAGGCAAACCTAAAAATGAGGCATCAACCTGGTGAAGCTACCAAACGGGACTCCTTGCATGCCAAACAGCATAAGCAGCAAGTGACAGGTAGAGCTAAGCAATCACATACCAATGGATCAGATCTTAGCACTACAGTCCTGCCACATCTAGTCATTAATGGTTTGGACAATTAAACAACTCATCCATGGGGGAGGAAGCTCAACAAATATCCCCCATCCTCAACAGTGGAAGAGTGCAACATATCAATGCAAAAGACAAGGCAAAAGCATTCACAACAATCTCCAGGTAGAACTGTTGAGAGGATGATCCAGCTCGGCCTCCTCCAGTGGTCTGTGGCATCACAGAAGACAGTCTTCAGCCAATTCTATTTACTCCATGGGATACCAAGGCACTAGATACTACAAAGACTATTAGCCCTGGCAACGTTCCAGCAATAGCACTGAAGACTTGTGCTCCAGAACTTGCCACAACCCTAGCCAAGCTGTACTAGTGCAGCTACAACACTGGCATCTACCCAACAATGTGGAAAACTGGCCAGGTAAGTCCTGGACACAAAAAGCAGGACAAATCCAACTCGCCCAATTTGTCACCCTATCAGTCTAGTGTTGATCATCAGTAAAGTGATGGAAGATGTCAATCAACAGTGCTATCAAATAACACCTGCTGAGCAATAACCTGCACACTGATGCTCAGTTTGGTTCCACCAGAGCAGCCAGCTCCTGACCTCATACAGCATTGGTTCAAACATGGACAAAAGTGCTGAATTCCAGAGGTGACGTGAGAGCGATAGCCCTTGACATCAAGGCTTCATTTGATCATGTGTGGTGACAAGAAACCCTGAAAATCTAGAATCAATAGGAATTGGGGGCAAATTCTCTGCAGGTTGGAGTCATGCCTGGCAAGTAGGAAGATGGTTGTGGTTGTTGGCAGTCAGTCATCTCTGTACGACTTCCTCAGGGTAATGTCCTTGGCCTAAACATCTTCAGTGGCTTCATCAATGATCTTACCTCCATCATAAGATCAGAGTGAGATGGTCACCAATGATTATAGAATGCTCGTCACCATTCATGACTCCACAGAAACTGCAGCAGTCCACATTCAAACATAACAGTATCTGGACAACATCCAGGCTTGAGCTGACAAGTGGCAAGTAACATTCATGCACACAAATGCCAGCCATGACCATCTCCAATAAGAGGCAATCTAACCATCATCCTTTGACATTCAATGGTGGTACCATCACTAAATACCCCACTATCAACATTCTGTGGATTAACATTAACCACAGCCTCAAAAAGAGCAGGTCAGAAGGCAGGAATACTGCAGCAAGTAATTCACGTCCTGATTCTCCAAAACCTGTTCAACATCCAGAAGGCACATGTCAAGAGTGTGATGGAATACTCTCCACTTGCCTGGATGGGTGCAAGCTCCAACAATACTCATTGATACCATACTTGACAAAACAGCCTGCTTGATTGGCACAACATGCACAAGCGTTCATTCCCTCCGCCATTAGTGTTCAGTAGTGTCCTATCTACAAGATACACTGCAGAAATTCACCAAATATCCTTAGGCAGCACCTTCCAAACCCATGACCAGTTCCATGTAGAAGGTCAAGGACGGTAGATACATGAGAATTTCATCACCTGCAAGTTCCCTAAAAGTCACTCACTATCCTGTTTTGGAAATACATCACCATCCTTCATTGTCGCTGGATCAAAATCTATGAATTTCTTCCCTAATGATATTGTAGGTCTACATATAACACATGGACTTCAGCGGTTAAAAAGGCAGCTCACCACTATTTCTCAAGGGCAACTAGGAATGGGCAATAAATACTGGTCAGCCAGTGATGCCCACACCCCATGAGTGAATAAAAATATTAGTACATCAATGCTCGATGTTTCACCTGTTTAACTTATCAGCTATATTAGTTTTACTCAGCTTAAAAAGGAGGAGGAGGAAAAGAAGAGATGGACAACACCAACAGAGCCAGAGATAGTAAGAACTGCCAATGCTGGAGTCAGAGATAACACAGTGTGGAGCTGGAGGAGCAGAGCAGGCCAGGCAGCATCAGAGGAGCCAGAGTGTTGACGTATCCGACCCCACAACCAAAGATATATTTCCCTCCCGACCCCTATCTGCCTTCTGTAGGGACCACTCTCTCCACGACTCCCTCGTCTGCTCCACACTCCCCACTAACCCCACCACCCCAGGCACCTTTCCCTGCAACCGGAGGAAGTGCCACACCTACCCCTACACCGCCCCCCTCACCTCCATCGAAGGAACCAAACAAACCTTTCAGATCAGACAGAGGTTCACCCGCACATCCATCAATGTGGTCTATTGCATCCACTGCCCCCGATGTGGCCTTCTCTACATCAGTGAGACCAAGCGGAGGCTCAGAGACCACTTTGTAGAGCTGTTCGTGACAAACAACAACACCTTCCGGTCGCAAACCTTTCAACTCCCCCTCCCACTCCCTGGGCGACGTGTCCATTCTCGGCCTCGTCCAGTGTCGCAATGACGCCACCTGGAAATTGGAGGAGCAGCACGTCATATTCCACCTTGGGAGCCTACAGCCCAATGGCCTAAATGTGGATTTTATCAGTTTCAAAATCTCCCCACCCCCGGCCTCATTCCATGACCAACCTTCCCTCTCATCCCGGCCTCCTTGACCTGACACAACCTGTCCATCTTCTCTCCCACCTATCCGCTCCTCCCACCTCACTGACCAATCCCTACCGCTGCCTTCCAGAACTCACCTATCACCATCCCACCTACCTTCCCAGCCCCAGCCCCCTTCTCTCTATTTATTTCTGAGCTCCCTTCCCCCTCCCCATTTCTGAAGAAGCGTCCTGACCCGAAACGTCAAATTTCCTGCTCCTCTGATGCTGCCTGGCCTCCTGTGCTCCTCAACACTGTGTTATCACCAACAGAGCCAGAGATACTCTGAAAGCTGCAGCTGTGGATGAAGAAGTAGCACAGGAAGGGGCAAAGCAAAGTCTTCAAACCTGACAAGCATTATACCGAGAGACAGTGTATGTGTTACAGCTACCTGCATTTGAGTGAAAGGCAGAGTCAGAGGTGTCTTTGTCTGTCTTGGGAGGCTATCACATATATCTGTTAGCTCCTGCAGACAGACCTGCAGCCATGTAGCATGTAAGGGAAGGACTATGCTTATGGCACTGAAGATCACAGCAGAAATGAACTTCCTCACTACCAGCTCCTTTGAAACCTTCACTGAGGACACGTGTGACAGCCCACAACTGAATTTATAAGTTCACCACCTTTTACAGGAAAATAATACAGTTTGTCCAGCTTACCATAGACCCAGAAAGTTAAGATGTCCGAGCTACTGGAGTTACAGACACCACTGAGTTCCCTCAACTGCAAGGGATCATCAACAGAATGCTTGTGGT